CCAAAATAAACGTTTTTGTTTATAATATATGTGTGTATACTGTGTATATTTATGATGTATATATACATACAAACACATGCATGTATATATTTAAGAAAAAGATGTTATGTTTACATATTAAATATATTTATATATGAGAATATGAATATATAAATGTATAAACGTGTAAATATTTTCAAAATATATACTGTATGTGTGTGTGTGTATTTATATTATATACATAATAAATATTCACAGTACACATACATATATAATGTAAACAAAAACGTTTATTTTCGCGATTAATCGCGATTAATCATTTGACAGCACTACTTCAAAGCAAAGAAAAAAGCAACCCCCTCCCCCCCAAAAAGTAGCAAAATATATATACATAAAAAATCAAATAACATATATTAAAAAATCAAATAAAAATATACATTACCCTGTGTAGATTATATAATAAAACATGGTTATTTAAACAAATGTTGGCCATTAACATCATATTTATCAACTGTTTTCAAACAAATTCACAGCCACATTCCTTTTTCATGTGTCATTCAGAAACAGTCACACAAAAGTCCTCAAATATTTGGTCCAAGCTGGATGCCATGACAACCATGACATCATCCCGAAGTCCACAATCAGTTTGACAGCACTTGTACAGGAGGGCAGAAATTGCATAATCATCCTTACAACACGGCCCTTCCTTTGCACGGAAGCCAAGCAACTTTGCCTTTGTGGTGAAATAACATTGCTGCAGCAAAGTGTGAGTTATCGACTTCCACTCGCCACTTATCACGCCTCAGTCTGCTCATGTCTTTTTCTCTATTGCACAGAAGCAAATGCAGTCTCAGAGACTGTACTACAAAAATGTGGCGAGCAAAGCTTGTCTGTTTATGCATTGCAGCACAAACCCTTCTAAATATTTAAAACAAAGACATACTAAGCTAGCATGCTTTGTACGTTGGTGTCATGCAAAACAAAGCCCTCGGTGTCTCTGTCGCAGTGAGTCCGTGAGCTCTTGTGAGAGCAAAGTAGGGCGTGGAAATGCCTTCGAAAGGTTTCCGACAAACATGCGTACAGTATTGGATTGGCACAGCTCCACGAGTACGACAGCAGCACCACAAACTCAAAGCCACGCGTGAAATCGAGCACCAGGTCTATTCGGTGCAGGGAGCAAAAGTTGAAGACGTAGAACGGCAGCCAGCAGATGCCAAACACCAAAACAACCGCCACTACCATCTTAGTAACCTTTTTCTCAAACCTGTGACTTTCCATTGAAGACGTTTGCTGTCTGGTGTTTATCAGAGTCACTAGAAGTGCTGTGTAAAACACAATCATTACGGTGAACGGCAAGGCGAAGCCCAGTATGAATGTGTAGCTAAGAAAGGCCAACCACCAGGTGTCAGATGCAACATGAGGGTCAACGGTGCACAAACCATAGTTGGCAGAAAAGTGAATAGCCATTGGAAGCACTGGAAACAGAGAGATAAACCACATTAATGTGGCGATGATCTTCGCCCGTCGCGGCGTCCGCCAGCGAGCGAAGCGCAGCGGGTCTACCAGAGCCATATAGCGATCAACACTCATCACCGTCAAGCAGAACACACTTGTGAACTGATTGATGCCATCCAGAACCATAACCAGCTTACAAACAGCATCTCCGAAGATCCACTGGTCCTGGAAGTTTTGGATGGCGATGAACGGGAGTCCCACCATGAAGAGTCCATCCGCCAAAGCCAAGTTGAAAATGTAGACGGTGGTCGCCGAAGACATTTTGTCCAGTTTCAGAATGGCGACGATGACCAGCGAGTTCCCGGCCAATCCCACGATGCACACGGCCAGGTACAAGACGGCCATGGTGACGCTGAAAGCATCGAAGTCCTCCCTAATGTAGACGTTGTTTATCGCAGCGCTGTCCAGATCTACGATCGACACGTTGTCGTAAAACATTCCCAAAGGTTTCGAGGTTTCCATTTCTGGTCAGAAACGGTTTGTAGTTCTTGGAGGAGAAGATCAGATGTATTAGATCTTGATGAAATTTAAAAAATGGTTTGTGTAGTCGTTGCAGGAGAAGTTCAAATGTAATAGATCTTGACAAAATCTCTGGTCAAAAATGGTTTGGAGTCCTTGCAGGAGAAGTTTTAATTAAATATTGTAACTTGCTGAAATTTCTGGAAAAATATGGTTTGTAATCCTTGCAGAAGTTCAAATGTATTTGAACTTGCCAAAATTTCTGGAAGAAAATGGTTTGTAGTCCTTGCAGAAGTTCAGTCGTATTAGAACTTGACTAATGTTCTGGTCAAAAACAGTTTGTAGTCCTTGCAGTCCTTGCAAGTTCACATGTATCAGATCTTGCCAAAAATTATTCTTGATCTCCACAGGTTTGCATCCACCTTGTCCTTGAAGCTGGTTTATTTTCACATCTCAAGAACTTCCCCAGTTGGTCTTTGAAGATATTTCAGCTTAAGCTTGGAGGAAAAACAAGCTTCACCCAAAAGTCCTGATTGGTAGGATATTTGTTGAAAGATCTAGACTCCAAAGCAGAAATCTAGTGGGTGTTTGACCCTCCTAGTGAGATCTTATATATCCCCCCAGCAGCGCCCAGTGTGTGTGTGTGTGTGTGTCTAAAGTCATCCGTTGACTCCGATAAACTGCGCCGGCTCGTTCCAATCCGCCGTTAAGAGGTTTCCAGGGTGCCATCTGTTACAATACTTTTGTTTTCATAACTAAACACCCTTGTCAGAAGGTCCATCCAGCCTCTTTCTTTCACACTCCCTTGCTCTCATTTTCCTCCTTCTCTCCACCCCTCTGTTTCCTCCCTTTCCTCGCAGTTCAGTGGGGGGTCAATCTGAGCCGATCAACCCCCAACCTCCCCTCTGGGCCACCCACTTTCCAAATACGTCCCCAAAGGATGAGTGATGAATCTGGCCTGTCTCCCTCTGCTTGTTTTAATGTGCTGCGTTCCCCCCTTCAGTGTTTATATTTCTCGCCGATTGTTTGTGAGTGAATCATTTATCACGCGCAAGGCCTCGGTGGGTAGAAGCGGTTGCAGATAAAAGGGCAAGAGTAATGAGCGATCACCTTAGTCCTGTTCCTCCTCTGACACGCATAGTTGGAATGCCGCAATTCTCACAGTGAGCTTCCCAGGATAACAGTAACTGAGGGAGGTAATGCTTATATAGTGGGCTATATACTCACCACCTCACTGACATGCACAGTATGTCTTTATGCAATATGCAGATTGTTTTGGAGATTTTCGCTCTACTCCCAATTCCATGAAATCATTCCTAGAATTTGGAACTTTCCATTGGCATGTTACTGTAAACGTGGAAATGCTTTGAGCTTATTTAGAGGTTTAAAGGGCCTCGGGTGACTTGAGGACAGGTATCCAGAGCTCTCCAATAAATCAGTCGGCATTTGGTTTCACTGTTCTGGGCTTGAGTTTTCTTGTATCTCTTAACAAGGAACATACCGGTTTTACAAATAGCATGCTTTGGTTTCTAAGAATTGTAACTATTTGGGAAAGAAGAACTAGGATATGTTTCAAAATGTTCTGAAACGTTCCCTCCAAAAACCTTTTAATGCGTGTTCCTGGTCTCATCTGTGCATCTCTTTGTTCCTTTGTCTTTCATTTGCATGTGTCTTTAATTAGTTCCATTATTTCTGTTTTCAGTTTTACTGAAATTATTCCCCTTTTATCTTTCATCTCTGTTCTCTGATCTCATTTCTTATGGCTTATCGTTCATCTTAAGCCGAATTACAAATCTCAAATGCACATGGCCTCAGTGAATCACCTGTGAAGTTCAGTGATGCTTTATTTTTTTCCCATTTTTACAATTTTTCTGGTAACAGTTCCTAAAGAGAAATCCAGTATAATCTATCTGCCACAATAAAAATAATATAGTCATGTTCTATGTGACGGAAGTCATTTTAATATTTCAGTTTGTGGTCCCCTGCTATTTTACAAACTTCAAACTTCAACGAACAGCCCTGATTCTCAAAGACGAACATACATCAGATATGCTTAGTGTCATGAAAGAAACCACAGTCTGCTCACCGTAAAGGAGACAAGAAGCAGCACAGGATACATAACCAGATGCATTTCTAAGAAAGCTGTCGTTATCAAACAAGACATTAGAGCAAATAAATGAGAAAAGAGATGAGAGATAAAATGAGAGAGCAAATATAAAGGAGCTAATTAAAGAACACACATGAGAAAAATAAAAAGGTAAAGGACTAGAGATTAGAAAAGGTTGATTAGAGAAATAATGCAATATAAAAAGTATTACATTTTATAATTGTATCATTGATGGGATTGGAATATAATTTGAACGGGGTTCAAACTCAGGCCACTTGAATATAAAGCAGCGTGAAAGTATCAGAGCACATGCTATTACGTATACAGAATAATACAGTCAGGGGCGCAGGGAATAATTAAAAAAATTATTAAATTAAAATTCATAAAATTAAAAATAATAATTCAATAATTGTATTATTGTTTAATTTTATTTATAATAATTGTATTTATTACTCTGTTCTTCATATTATTATTATTCTGTATAGACTACACTGAACATTTTTTTTTTTTTACTTTTAAACAATGTTCACTCAGAAATTGCTACTAGTGAAAAGACTGAAATAGTGTTTTATTACAAAACGTACTCAAGTAATCTTTGTTTTATTACAGAATCGATTTTTTAATGTTATTATTATGTTTTACAGTATATACAGCAGCAGGTCACCATATCAAGAAGTACATTATATTTATAACTTTATGTATTTATAATTATTAATTTTTTCCCCAAAAGGTTAACGCATTATTTTCTCCTAATAAGTTTCCAAATGCTTCCAGAATAATCTTGCATGGAGAAAAAGATATAACTAGTGAAGTTTCTTTCTAATCTATTAAAGTTCACAGCATTCTTCATGCGCTAACCTGTTGGAACGTAGCTGACGTGGTCCCTTTAAAACTCCGGTGCGTGTGAAACGAACCAATAGGAGCTCGAGGGGGGCGGGACTTCGGCCGTAACACAGACACGTGTACACAGGGAAGCAGGAAGTGAAGCTGTTCAGTTGGTGTCTGTAAACAAACAGTAAGTACTAACTTATTCAGTAGTAAGTTGTGTATTCCGCGGCAGTAAAATGAATGAAATCAAGCGTAAAAAAGCACAAATCTGTTAGCGACGCGTTTATTTTGTGTTTCTGAAATACTGGAATGTTTAAATGCAACAGAAATTGACGATGGTCAAACTTTGCAGGAGTCTTTCACTCTGTTATTTCATAAAATAGCGCTGCATTTTCTTTATTTGATCATTTATGAGTGATTCAACTGCTATTAAACACTGTTTCGATAGGAAGGAACTGCAGTGCTAGTTAATACGTTTAATTGTTTGATTAAATGCATAATGACAGATGTTGCACTCACTCAGAACTGACAGATATATCTAGTTCACGTATATTGTGACCCTGGAGTACAAAACCAGTTATAAGGGTACATTTTTGGAAATTGTGATTTATGCATCATCTGAAAGCTGAATAAATAATCTTTCCATTGATGTATGGTTTGTTAGGACAATATTTGGCTGAGATACAACTATTTGAAAATCTGGAATCTGAGGGTGCAAAAAAAAAAAATCTAAATATTGAGAAAATCATCTTTAAAGTTGATCAAATTAAGTTCTTAGCAATGCATATTACTAATCAAAAATTAAGTTTTGATATATTTACGGTAGGAAATGTACAAAATATCTTCATGGAACATGATCTTTACTTAATATCCTAATGATTTTTGGCATAAAAGAAAAATTTATAATTTTGACCCATACAATGTATTGTTGGCTATTGCTACAAATATACCCCAGCGACTTAAGACTGCTTTTGTGCTCCAGGGTCGCAAATGTGGCAGAGATTAAACAGTAATTCTGAACTATATACTGTATGGTGAGCTTGTCATTAAGTGAACCACCTGTAAATAAACATAATGGTTTTAATGCACAGAGCTCAGTGTTTGCAGATATCCTGGATAAACAGGATTTGGTTCACACACACGTCTGTGTGAGGAATAAAGTGTGTTTGATTTGCACAGGCACCATGATTGCAGGCGTCAGTCCTGTGCTTCAGGCCCTGCTGGGGACCCTGTTCACCTGGGGCCTCACCGCAGCTGGAGCTGCTCTCGTCTTCGTCTTCTCCAGCAGACAGGTGAGACGGGTTACTTCAACTGATTTACATCAGTCAGGGTTTCAATATAAAGGGATAGTCATTCTGTCATTATATGCATCATGCGCACAGAAGAAGATATTATGAAGAATGCATGTGACTCTTTTCCATATAATGAAAGTTAAAGGGATAGTTGCTGGTAGACTTGCATAGTATTTATTTTCCACACTATAAAAGTTAATGGGTACCAGAAATTGTTTTGTTACCCACATTCAGAAGAAACAGATTTAGAACATGCAGGGGATTTAAATGATGACTTCATACATTTTTGGTGAATGTACCCTTTAATGGGGAAATTTTAGTTCATATTTCTTCAAGTAAAATAGGTTTGGCTTAACATTAAGTAATGAAAATATATATTATTTAAAAAAAAACTTTTGTTCTTCTTAATTTTATAATTTCATATTTTTTATAATTTTTATTTTTATAAGAGTCAAGGGGAATAAAACGTGTGAAGATTTGAGTGTATAACTGTAATTTTAATAGTAAACAACTATAAAAATGCGGTGGTAAAAACTTGGTTAAGAAAGTTCTCTAACTATATACAGTAAAAAATGTGATCTAACAGGATATTTCATGTAATTTTAGAGTAAAATACTGTTAAATGTAAGATTTTTGGAAGTGAAAAAGAATGTTACCTTATAATTTACAGTAAAAAACTGTCAAAGCTCACATTTGATGTTGTTTAAAAAAAATAAAAAAAATAATGAAATTATGCTTTTTCTTAGTTTGTGGATAACAGTTATGTGCTTTAGGATTTAATTTAACATATTATGTTGTTAAATGAATGTTTATTGCATTATTTTAGTGTTTTGTATTTCACTAGGTCATAAGGTTGGTTTATTAACATTATATAGTTAAAGCTGCAGTCCGTAAGTTTAATTATTCCAGCTGCTGTGAGAAAAGGCTATAAACGATCCGTCACCTGCAGGATCCTCACATGCGATAGCCTAGTAGCCATGACAACTTCTTTATGTTTACAGACGTGACGAATTTCCCGCGAAAACCTACCCGTAGCACTCAAATTAGAAAACATTATTATAAGCTAACCGTTGTGAATAGGGCTAAAGTAAGGCGATAGTTTTGAACACTGGCTGGTTATGTACTTGCTCAAATATTGATTTCGGATCATTTTTAACCAAAAAAAGTTACGGACTGCAGCTTTAATAAAATATACAAGTTTTACTGTAAATTTAAGTTCAGTCTGTAAAACCTAAACTGTTGGTGCTGTATTGTTATGGAAAATTTCTGGCAACCACAGTTTTTTTTTTTAATTGTGTTGTTGTTGATTTTACAGTAAATCTTTTTTTTCCTCACAGAAGCGCGTCTTGGATGGCAGTCTGGGATTTGCTGCAGGGGTAAGAAACCCTCAACCCTATTTTTTACTTTCCTTCTTTGCTTTACATGTCTATAATTTCTTCCCCTTTTTGCCATACATTCTCATGGTGTGCTTGCATCACATCTCTTTCTCTTTACACAATGAAATATTCATTCAGTGAGGGCAGGCAGGAGCACGTTATGCGCTCTGTTGTTCAGGAAAACTGTCAGTAAGGCTAAAAAAAAAGAATAATGTTTTTTTGTTGTTGTTGTTTTTAAAAAAAATCTGTGACCCAGAGTTAATTACACTGTTCAGTTTTGATTATCTGCAGTGTTTGAATGCAACACCAGGTTTGCCGAATCCTTATCAAATGTTCAGAAACATCAGTTCCCCTTTTGTAGTCGCCTGAAGGGCTGTGAAAAATTGTCTTGCATTGAAGACGGAAAAATATCATTTCCATGATATCAAATATGCATGTTTTGTAGATTGGAATTGAAAATCCAGCAAACTAATAAATGGTTTAAATGTTTTTTTTTCAGCCCCCATGTTCTAGACATTTGAGTCATTATAAGTTCGTACATAATGAGAACTTATATAATGATACTCAATCCTCAGTCGTCTAGCATAATTTTATTGCTCTGCTCGGGGTGCAGAGATCGACAGTGTTTCAACATTTAAATATGTTTGTACTTGACGACAGTTTACCTTTTAAAGAGCATACTGAGCTACAAAACTGAATAAGAATGATATTTTTTTGGTTGCTAATTAGAAACGAGTTGCTCCTACTTTTCTAGACTTCCGTGACATTTTATACAGCTATGCTGGTGTTTGATCTTGGCAGATGCTTCATAGTTTACCATGGTGTGATTAAAGTAATTACTGTATGTAGCTCGTTGTAATCTGTATGCAGATGTTAAATGGCTCTCTCTTGGCAGTTTCATTGGCTCAACTTTGTAAAATCAGTTTCTTGCTTTCATATTTTGCAGGTTATGCTAATATTCAATCAAATTCGTATTAGAGCCTAGTCTACTTTCAGTTAATAGATTGTGTGTTCTGGTCCCAAATATGATGACTGAGTTTGGAAAGAAGGCTTTTGCTTCTTCGTAGAATAATCTTTATAAAATGTTGGAATTTAAAGACCTTCTACCTTTAAGTACTGTAAAGTCAAACACTTTAAATTTCTACTTTGGCATGTGCCAGTGTTGTTTATTTATTTATACGGTAATATATATATATTATATATATCTGTGTCAGTCTGTGTCTGTGTCTGTGTCTGTGTCTGAGTCTGAGTCTGAGTCTGAGTCAGTGTCAGTGTCAGTGTCAGTGTCAGTGTCAGTGTCAGTGTCTGTGTCTGTGTCTGTGTCTGTGTCAGTCTGAGTCTGAGTCTGAATCTGAGTCTGTGTCTGTGTCTGTGTCTGTGTCAGTCTGTGTCTGTGTCAGTCTGTGTCTGTGTCAGTCTGAGTCTGTGTCTGAGTCTGTGTCTGAGTCTGTGTCTGAGTCTGGTACTATATATAGAATACAGTATATACATAAACAGAATATACTGTATATACATAAACACATTTTTTGCAATGATCATATTCATATATATATATATATATATAATTTTCTGGATTATGTTAAAACCTGATGTAATATGGACACCAGAAATTAATACATTTATATTTTTAATTGTCATTTTTGGTTGGTTATCTATTATATTTCTTAGAATAAACTAAGAAATTGATTGAAACAATGGACCCTATGTGAAAACGTGTGCAATGTGCAATTACATGCTTTTATTATTTATGGGCATATGATCGGGATTATTATTTTTACAGGACTTAAAATAGGGAAAATTGAATTTGGCCATTATAAACTATATGTGAACAAATCGCAGCTGCACTCGCTCTTCATCTGTTTACACAGACAGTTATTATACACAAATTTTCACATCTGTGTGACAAGTAAGGCATAGTCATTCTGTATCGTGTGTGTGCTAATGCGGTTATGTTCTTGTGAATGACATGATTTGAAAGCTTCGTTGCGTAAAAGACATCAGAGTGGGTTTTGAGGTTGCGATTTCTTTCTTAGTTTTTGTCTGGTTTCTGTTAATGTTTTCTCTTTATGAAGCAAAGCACTGATAGTCTGAATGATTCATTATTGGTTTTTCATTGGTGTATTTCATTTGTATTCTCATTCATTTGTGTTCAGTTTCAGATCTATTCATGTGTTGCTCACAGAGTCGAGGGAAACTGCTAGAGTTTCTCTGTTCGTTTCATTAACATGAAAACCTGTATGCGTCATTCAATGACATATTATTTGGAAATTTGCAATCCTACAATTCTGCAATCTGCTGGTGAGCTTTAGTGTTTCCTCTGGACCTTGGAGTGAAGTCTCTTTATTTTCTTTCAGTTTGTTGTGTCTGGCAGGTTTCCTTCTCAACGTTCCGAGGGTTTTTGTGGTGATGCAACATTTTTGTGAAACTCATATTTGACTCTGTATTTTAATATACACGCTCTAATATGATTACTTGGTTTGTTGTGGTGGAGGGGATGGAGTGGCTGCATGCCGGTTTATTATTAAATAAGCTATTTTACAGTGGAATGTCAAAAACATAAACTTAAAATTCAACAGCAATATTTGGATTGAAATGTTAACTATCCATTGATTTAAAAACATTATTAAATAAAATTTGTTTTTATTTAATGAAGGTCTTATTTATTTATTAAATAATTTATTTATTAAATACATTTATTTATGTATGTAGTACATTTCTGTATTAATTAAAGCTTTTATTTCTTTATTTGATCAATTTATTTCTTTATTTTAATTTTAATTAATACTTTTTTATTTATTTAACCTTTTATTTGTTTATTAAGTGTATTTATTTGTATTCATTAATTTATGTATTTTTTATTTAGTGTTTACATCTTATTAAAGATTTAATTTATTTAATTATTAAATAAATGTATTTACATATTCAATTCATTTAGTAATTTATTTTTTACATTCATTCATTCAATGCATTTTATTTTATTTATTTATTTGATGCATTATTTATTCAATATATTTATGTATTTCTTTATCAGTTAAAGCTTTTATTTCTTGTTGTTCACTACATTTATTTATTTACTCCTTCATTCATTCCAAATATAAAATGAGTGTTTTCAATGTTACCATGTTGTTATTATTACGTTATTACTCCATGTGTCCCCTTTTTTTTTTTCAAATTACATATAAACCACATCCAAAAAACAAAACACACACACACAGACACACAGACACACACACACACACACACACACACATCAGTGATCAGCTTCAAACAGAATAATTGAGTGTGAGAGGAAACACAACAGCACATCTACTGACAGTGTGTTAAGATGAGGACAGAAAGTGTCTCCACCTGAAGGAAGGCTAATTAATGAGTTTTCCTTCATACTGCAACACAGAAAAGGGGTTTTCAAGAAGGATTAAATGTTCCTTGAGCTGCTGAAAAGTAATTAGGCTTTAGCTGTGGCTCCATAATTGGACTGCAGTAACACTGACCTAAAAGTACTTCACAGTCACTCTGAGTGCAGGATGAGACGTGACCAAAGAACAAACATATCTTTGTTTTATACTGTAGATCGGAATGAGCTGTGATTCAACAACATTGGTCCACAGCTATTAATTTATGTAAAATCTTGTGCATACAGTGTCTTGAGTAAACCTCTTCGCTGTAAAACATGATATCATCAGTAAGTCATGGCAGCTTTTGTTTTTACATGAACTCATCAAAATTAGTTGAGCAATTTCAACTTTTTATATGAAGTTTTTCCCAAATTTGATTAAATTAATTTTTTAGGAGAATTAGATTTTTTTGTAATAACTGTCATGTGGTGATACCATGCAGACAAAAAAGGAAATATAATGAAATGTAATGATATTTATGAATAATAATTACATATTTTTTTATTTGTTAATTTATTTTATTTTATTTTATTTTAATTTTATTTTAATTTTAGTATTTTATTTTAATTTTTTTGTTATGTGCTTTTGTAATTTTTATACGTTTTTATTTTATTTAAATTTTTTATTTATTTTTAAATATTACTATTCAGGTTTAATCTATTTTTATTTCAGTTATTATGTACTGTATAGTAGGCTTAACGTGGTATTACATATGATTTTAATTTTAGTATTTTAGTTTTTTCTTATTTTGTTATGTGCTTTTGCCATTTTTTTTTTAAATATTACTGTTTAGGTTTAAACTCTGTGTCCATTCATTGCATTTTAAATACATTTGCTCTATTAAAAAAAAGTAATGTTTTAATTTTTTATATAAAAATACATGGTGAATAATTTATAGGTAAATTAATTAATAATTCATTAAAATAACTAATAAAAATATTATTGGACAGAAGATGGTACAAATTGATATGCTTGTTGTCTCTGGTCTGTTTTGAGCACCAGGATCACGAGTGTGACCCTAAAATTAAGAATACAGCGTCTTAACTTACACTTGGGTCAATCTTTGGATAATTCTGGAAAATATGAGAAAACTAGTGAAAGCACAAGTTGACCTTTATCTCCTGTGGGCAGCCGTGCATCATTCCTCGGTTTCTGAGACTGAGTCTCGAGATCTCTGTGAATCGATCGGACTCTGAGTCTCTGTTCAGTCACAGCGTCAGTAATTAGCTATTAACTGAGCAGGTTATTACGCTAAGACGTTATTACGCCGTCTTCTGCTCAGGCAAACGGCTTCCTCCTATGGAAAGATGTGCACAAGAAAATGAAATAACTAACCCCTTTCCAAGAGAAAATAAATAACACCCCTCCTAGAAAACCTCAGTGTTTAATTGACCTGAAATGCGCAGTGAAGTTGGCTTCATTATTCTTAATGGTGGCAGAGAATAGACTGTCATTATAGAAGAAGTCCTGCATTAACCTTAATAACAGCTTTGCCCTCAAAGGCAACAAAACAGATGCCAAATGGAGCAGGACATGGAGGTTTTCCACAAGACATAATAATAACAATAACAATAATCATAAAGTGCCGCTCTGGCCGCTAAAGACATATAGGTGTAATTTCCAGAGATAGGTTGCAGCTTGTTCATAAGCTTTACCTTTTATGTAGGGATTTTGATCAGCCTTAGACTATTATTAATTTTAGTCTAGTAATGTACACTAAAAAAATCACTCAGAAATTGCTACAAAATGTAACAATTATTTATAAAGAAACTGCAAGAAACACATTGAATTAAACATTAAATTTTGAAGTAGAAAGACTGAAATAGTATTTTATTATATGCTTCAATAATCTTTGTTTTATTTATAACTGCTAAAAAGTTTTAAGGCTGCACGATTCATCAAAATAAAACCCAAATCACCATCATATTCCTCCAAAATATTTAAACTGCACTATATCCTATCGTTTGAAAATTAAGAAATTAAGGCAGCAATAAATATTACTATTGTAATTTTACTTTTGTATTGCAAAATACTTTTTTTCTTAATACTTGATTGTTTTTTAATCCACGGTGAAATATTCCAATATTTCTTCTGTTGTTTCATATTTTTATTTAGTAGTACTAACAACAACAATTATAAATAATAATAAATATTATTATTTTACAGTAATTTTGGTGTATAATCACAGATTTGCTTGATGTACCACTAATGCTAAAACATTCACAAACTTAAATTATTTTGATTGTTTTTCCTTTCAAAAATGTTAATAATGTTAATAATCTGATGGACCAGGTAGTAAATTTTCCATTTTTAATCCATCAGTAAAATTGCATTTGTATTTGTAATGCGACATTTTACGTGATGCGTCTCTCCTGAAATCTTCACTCATGTCAAAATTTTTTGCTGTGGTGCTTTAAAACTTGTGTTTGTAAAGTAAGCATGCTCCATTGACGAAAAGCATTCTTAATTATTCATCGTGTTTTTTAAAATTGGTCAGTGTCAAATTTTAGTTAACATGCATAAAAAATGATTTACACCAAACCAAACTGAACCAAATCTGTTTCCGATCTCATTCAGTGCTATAGTGGAAAGTCTGTCAGTCCAAACCATGAGATTTCAAGTTGCTTTTTGAACATTTGTAACATTTTGAACATTTGTTACTTTTTGAACATTTTGAACTTTTTGAACATTTTGAACTTTTTGAACATTTTGAACTTTTTGAACATTTTGAACTTTTTGAACATTTTGAACTTTTTGAACATTTTGAACTTTTTGAACATTTTGAACTTTTTGAACATTTTGAACTTTTTGAACATTTGTTACTTTTTGAACATTTGTTACTTTTTGAACATTTTGAACATTTGGAACTTTTTGAACATTTGTTACTTTTTGAACATTTTGAACATTTTGAACATTTGTTACTTTTTGAACATTTGTAACTTTTTGAACATTTGTAACTTTTTGAACATTTGTAACTTGAACATTTGTTACTTTTTGAACATTTGTAACTTTTTGAACATTTGTAACTTTTTGAACATTTGTAACTTGAACATTTGTTACTTTTTGAACATTTGTTACTTTTTGAACATTTGGAACATTGGTTTACACTGTTGCAACATTTCCTTGTGATCCTGTCTCTGAGTTTGTGCTTTTCTTACATTAGATGGTGCGTGTGTGAAATAAAATCTCCCCTCTCTGATATAATACACAGTGCTGCTGTGTTCCTTCAGGTCCTGATATCATTACCAGCATGCCTACAGGACAAATGAACAAGTCTTCGATCACGATTTGTCCAAATGTGTCGGACAGCATAGAAAAAAATGGATGATTTTAAACTTGCTTGAGGGTTTTTTTATCACAGTTTCACTCATGAATAATTAAAAAGTCTACCGATGCAGGCTGGAGTTCGGAAGATTTGCACACTGTTTAAACAGACTTTATTGGCAAAGTGTAAAATCAAAGCATATAATATAACTCCGTATCCTAACTTTTATCTCACATAATCTTCCTGTAGTATGCATGCTGTGAGCATATTTATGAGCATGCATGCATGACTAATATATATATATATATATATATATATATATATACACACGCGTGGTCAGAATTGTTG